AATAATAATAATAATAATAATAATAATAATAATAATAATAATAATAATAATAATAATAATAAAAATAGTAATAATAATAATGATAATAATATATTATTAATAGATTTGTCAAAATCAGTTAGAATAAAGAGTTATGATAAACTATATTATTTATTAACTTATTAGAATCAATTAGAAGAAAGATAATTTTATTTGATTATATTATGAAAATAATGGGGTTTTATAAAGATTCAAAAAATAAACCGAATAAAGAGAGGTAAGTCTCCTATTTATATTATGTTAGCATAGAAACCCTACCCATGAGGAAAAAGGAGATAGAAACTTTGAGGGTGAGAGTGAGAGTTTGATCGAGTGAAGATTTGTGAAAGCTTAAGGGTGTTATTGAAGGGCATTGTTTATTCTAGGAAAAAGTCTTATCAGAAAAACCAGGTAAGGGGAGCTTACATTGTTGACTTTTGTTATTCTTTGTTTTTATATTCTCGATTTGTTTTCATGTGTGAACTGTGTATATGTGTGTTGTCGTTTGGATGTATGCGTGTGAAGATATGATAGGTTAGTGAGGGGTTGTCTCGTCGTACCTAGTAAATCCTTTTTTGCCATGCGACGCGGGAAAGGGGTTCTCTTCTGTCGTGTGATGCGAGAAGAGGATGAGTTTGGAGATTAATGGCAAGATGACTCGAACTGGGTGGTTCTTATGAACAGGGGGTATGGTAGGGTACGATGGATAGATCACTGGTTTGTGATGATGATGGTTGACTGTATTTGAACTATTGGTGGGTTGTTGTTGTGTTTGTTTTTGTGATGAATGTATAGCATATGTGTTTATGTTATTCTGCGTATGATTGATTCTCAATTAACCTGTATGTTTGTAATTGTGATTTTCACCTACGATGATCGTTTATTACGGGAGCAAATGATCAAGCAGATAATTCAGATGCAATATAGCCTGACTAATGAACAGGGGGTATGGTAGGGTACGATGGATAGATCACCGGTTTGTGATGATGATCGTTGACTGTATTTGAACTGTTGGTGGGTTGTTGTTGTGTTTGTTTTTGTAATGAATGTATAGCAGATGCGCTTATGTTATTCTGCGTATGATTGATTCTCAATTAACCCGTATGTTTGTAATTGTGATTCTCACCTACGATGATAGTTTATTACGGAAGCAAATGATTAAGCAGATAATTCAGATGCAGTATAGCGTGACGAGCGAATTGAGAGAGTTAGAAAAATTTACGAGTTTATTTTAAAGTAAACTATTTTTTTGGGAATTTTATTTTGTGATCAATTGGAATTATGGTTTACTTTTTGTTGATTGTAAAAGCTTATGGAATTTGGATTTCTGCATATGTTTTAAAATTTCAATTTTTACTCGTAACTTTCACATTCCAAAAATTGGAGTGTTATATTTGACATATTCTAGCTTAAACGTCAATCCAAAAAACAATTTAATACTAAAAAAATTAGTAATGTTGGATTTAAAAGATTACATCTATTCATTTGTAAAGTTGAAAATCAAAATATATTAAAATTTTGAACAAAAACTAACTCTAATTTCATTTACAAAATTAAAAACATACTTAATATTTATTTAAAACATTTTACGAATATATATATATCTATATATATATATATATATATATATATATATATATAATTCATGCTAATTTTTTATTAAATAATATTAGTTTAATTTTTATATAATTAAAATATGAAAAATATTCAACAATAAGAATATTTATATAATAATTTAATATAATAATGATAAATATAATCTTTTATTAATAGTTTTTTTAAATAAAATTATATTATTTTTAATAAATATATATTAATTTTTAAAATAATATTATTTTAAGAAATAAAAATAAGATATATTTTTTCTAAATTTAATTTTTTTTATATGAATAAGTAATTAAAATCATAAAAGAATAAAATTAAAAATTAAAAAATAGTATGAGAAAATAATTAATACTTTAAATATAATTTAATCATTAATAACTTATTAAATGATCAACCAAGATATAATTATAAAGAATGAAAAAAATAACAGAAAAGAAAACTTAATACTTTAAATATAAGTTATTATTTAATTATAAGTATATTAAAAATACATTAGATAAAACTTTTAATTATAGATAAAATGTATTAAAAGACACAGAATAAAATAAATAGCTATTAATTTATTTTAAAAGTTAACTAACTTTTAGAAAGGGTTAAATATGTTTTTCGTCCCTTAAATATCACATCATTTTGGGTTTAGTCCCTACTCGAAACTTTGATGGTTTTTAGTCCTCATAGTTTTGAAACTATTAGTATTAGTCCTTAAAAATGGACGGCGTTAAGTTTTAGTAGATGAGGCAAACGGCGATGCCAGGTTTGATGCCAGCTGCGCTCTGCACTCTCTGCCAGGTTAGATTTCTGATTTTAATTAGGGTTCTTAAAAGAGATTTTCTCGAGGATTAAATTCCAGAAACATTGGGATTTAATTTCATATTTTATCATAAACATTAAAGTTTCCCGAATTGGATTTATCATTAATGCTAATTGGTTTGGGTTTCATATACTGGAGAATACCAACTATGGAAGAGCAGTGCACCGAAGGAGAAGAAGAGCAGAAACAGAACGCGAAAACCAAAAATGGCGAGACCTGATGTGCGAACTACCACTGCCTGCGCCTTCACGACCTGAACCAGGAAGAAGAAGAAGCCTCTAGAGGTTGTTTCTCCACTGCACCAGAGAAGAAGGAAACCAGAAAATTGGATTTTCCTTAGGGTTCAGGAGCATTAGGGTTTCAAATTGAAAATTTTTCCAATTTATATTTCTTATTTTAATTAGGGTTCGAGATTTTCTGGATTAAATTCCAGAAACATTGGGATTTTAATTTTCAATTTTATCATAAACATTAAAGTTTCTCGAATTGAATTTATCATTAATGCTAATTGGTTTGGGTTGGAGAATACCAACTATGGAAATTTTATTATCATAATTCAAAACGCATTCATGAACTAAGAATTTAATGTAGATTATAAACCATTAAATGAAAACCCCCCAAAACCGCGACTTCTCGTCGCGCCTTCACCAGCAACCTCAGCTAAACTCAGAAAATCAAACACAAAACAAAAATCCCTAATTTCTTAAAATAAACAATTACATTTCTGCCACGGAAAAGACTCTTTATTTAAATAAGAAAGTCCACATAATCAAAAAATACATATCAACATATTATTTGTGCACCACGTCACCAAATATTAACGCCCTCTGTGACAATTTAACGAATAAGGTAAAATTGACTTAATTTTACAAATATTATGACCCAATTGAGACAGTTACAAATATGGATACCCAACTGAGATTCTTATACAAATATGAGAATCATCCGAGGGTTTAAACAAAAAAAAATTATACTTTAAATAAAATTTATTCTTTAATAATTTTTTAAATGACTAACTAATTAAAATTTATAATAGTATAAAAGTAAGAATAAATAAATAATATAGACAAATTAGTTTAAAAATAAAATAAATAGATAAAAAAGTAAAATAAATATTATGTACATGTAGAAGTAATATAAATATAATTAAAAAAATTTAAAATAGCAAATGGTTAAAAAAATTAACTTTTGAAACACTTGCTCAAAACAAAATGAATAATACCGTAAATTTGCTAGTATATTCTTTTCTTATATTATAATATATTAGAAATGCCTTTCTAGTAACTTCTTAAACAAAATAGAGTTTTCTTTTGGTAGAGAAAATTTTATATCCAAAACTTTTATTTTTAAAAATCAATGAAACTTATTTCTCAATATAGTATTTTTGTGCAAACTTCTGTAAATCCATAAAAAATATGTTAACTCACAATTTAGGACTTGTTTATTCTAAAATTAATTTTGAACTATTTAAAGCAATTGGAATGTGTTAAAAAATTAACTTCAAACACATTTCACATTATAACTTGTATCACTGAAGAATTGATAATGAACATTTTCCAAAGTGATACTTAGAATTATGCTTCATCATTGAACATCAACTTTACAGAATAATCAGCAAACTTTCCTCAATTGGCAAATGAAACCAATGTATTAAACAAATTATCCTCACTAGAGGGTTTTCAACATAAAAGAAGAAACGATGGGTTTATTTTCATTGTTTTGGGGAAGGTGTGTCTGGGGATGGAGACGATGATGAGTTGAAATGAGCTTCTGAGTTACTCAGACTTCTTAGCCAGACTTAATACCACTCCAATGGTAAGACTTGAGGCTACAAAACCAAGAGATTCCTCTGTGGAGACATGAAATCCTGAAGAGTGAATGAGCAGATGTGAAAAACCAAGCACAGTAAATTTTGTATAAATTAAGTTGACAAGCAATGTATACTCACCAAAATAGTCCAGGATCATCTTAACCCCAATAAATCCCAGAACAACAGCAATGGAGGGCTAAAGAAAACCAAAAATTGGAAATCAATAACAAGGATGAAAGTATAAGTAAACAGAAGCGTTGTAAGATACAACAATTAATATGCAACATGCTATGTAAGGAGACAACAAAATTCTAGGTAGCAGATTGTCCTGAGCTTAAATTAATGTTGGGACGCCCTTCTATGAACTTCAGTATAAAATACTAGATTAGTAAATATATGACATAGATGTTACAAACCAATCATAATTCGTTTCAAGACTTATTACATTGGATAAACTACTAATAGTCATAATTTAGAGTTCAAACGGATTATCGCGTAATGCTTTGAACCAAAAACCTTTGACAGAACAACCACGAATTTGAGATTCTCAATGATGTATCAAGTGGATCACCAACAATTTTGGTTTCTGAAAGGAATTTAATAAGCAATGTGCAATAAAAATAGCCCACATTAGGTGTACAAGAAAGTATTTAGTGTCCCGCAAATGCATTGGTAGATGTGCAGTATAGTACCCAGCGGTTTTATGCTAAGTTAACGTTAAGGTGACAGCAATACAATTGCAATTGGTTTTTATTCTTTCATTTCAATTTGTGATTATTGATTGCTATTCTATTTTAGATTATCTTAGGGAGTGAGGACTGCAAATAAACCATCAATGTAAATAGTAGAGCTGTCAATTTGGTCCACCCCACAAGGCTTGACCCTGACCCACATGGATTAAGGTCAAAAAATCCCATAAGATCAAAATGTCCATAAAAACTCTGTTGTCTAAGACCAGTCCATGGACTTTCTTTTTAAACATGACAATTATTAACTTTTTTAAATATTTTATTAGACATTCGGTTTAGACTAGCTTGTCTTGACTTTCAATCGACTTTTAATCTGAATAGATCTAACTTGACCTTCAGCCACACAGGCTAGGGTCAACTTTCAGCCCAGGCTAGCCCATCTGACCTTTTGATAACTTTTTGTTGCTGTCCTACATGACTAAGGCATTCCTTTAGTATAATCATGAAAATTGTCTATCTTCCTTGAAGGATAAATTTGCAGTAACTTTTGTTTTCCACTCATCATAACTCAAACACATGTCTATTTTCCTGCAATAATTGTGCTCCCGATAAAAAAAAGAGCATTTTTTTCAAGGACAATTTAGGATGAAGTAGAAAATTTCTATACGAAGCAGGAAGCCCAAGGAAGCAACAATTTGAAATGATATCAGAACCATAGTTTAAGTCCCAACAGTAATACACATGGTCATGTTAAATGATAGACATGTAAACGGAAAAAGTTATGCAGCAGCCAAGGTATATCAAAACAGACAAAGTCAATATTTACCTGTAAGTATTTCAACTCAGACATACCCTCCGATACTATTAAATAAAGCGACCTTAAACCTACATTTGACAAACAGAAGTGGTTTAAATACAAATAAACTTCTGAGAAAAAGCATCCATAATTGGACAGATACACACGTGATGAGAGTACGACAAGAATGAACTATTTTGCCTCTCTGCGCTCCATAGGGCAGTGAAGTACGGAAATATAATATAGTTAGAAAATAACAGTTTCTGTGCAACAAATTCTCAGTTATAAAATTATATACTACAGCATGTTGCCCAATAAAATAGATGAACTATACCGTTCAAATCTTTAACTTTAGTTTGTAAGCTTTCTGGGAATCAGTATAGTATACTAAAGGAATACAAATCCCAATTCCAAAACATTATAGAAAACAAATTCAGATATGCATGAGGGGAATGTAAGCAAAGAGAACGTACCCAAAATGGCAAAAAGATTAGAAGTAAAGACTATAAATGGATCCCGCGTTACACCAAATACTGCAGGTATTGAGTCAACCTAAAGGAAAACTGAGTTAACATTCCAATGCGAACTTAACTAGACATTCCATACGAAATAGATGGAGGAGAAAAACCTACTGCAAATGCAATGTCACTGAGCTCAATAACAGCTACCGTAAGAAGCAACGGGGTGGCCTGCCCAAAATGTTTGATCCCTGTTAGAAATCAAGTTCAAATTAATTTAATTCATAAAAAATATTTTTTTACTGAAATAGAAGGAACAACTATGATGTAGTAAAAAGTTCAATGTAATCATACTGAGAAAAATATAAAAATTAATCAAAATAAAGATGATTAGTAATTTACAACTTACTTTCCACACCCCACCAAGATTTGTTATGAATCGATCTCCATCATAGTACGCTGCAATAATTTTGTCAGAAATATGATTTTAGATGATAAGCGAACAACACAGTAAAACTTGAATCAGTGCAGACAATGACATGCCAAGTGAAAAAGCAATGTTGTCAATCGTAGATTGCGGAAAATGGCGGAAAGTCAATAATCTGCAACATCATATTGCGTAACTCACAAAACAGTTGAAATATGTTAGATTAATTATATATCTATATAACTTAAGTTGTTCGCAAAATAAATAAAAATTAATATTATGTTAACTCCAGAAGTCCAATTGGTTTAAGATTTGTCAGTGATGACAAGACTATGCAGCACACCACAACCACAAAGTACCCTACGTGTTTGGGGTGATGTGTTCTTCACGGCCATGTTATTTATCCAACAGCAAGCCCATCTCCATCCTAGATAACAAAATCCATAATTCTATTATTTCCTCAAGACCGCTAATTACCTCTTAGAGTTTTTGGGTCACATGTTTTGTCATGATTTTAGTCATGGTTGATAAGTTATCTACTAGGTCTCACAAATGTGTCTTCTTAGGATTTCCACGGTCACAAAAGGGACTATAAGGTTTTTCCCCTTTCCTCAATCGTCAGGTTATCGCTGCTGATGTCACTTTTGAGAATCTTCTTACTTACACATCTATCTTCTAGTTCTGGACTTCTCATGTTATGTTGATATTCTCTTATCTGGATCTCCTGGTGATGCTCACCCATTTGTCTCTCTTCTTTAGATACTCATTCACACAGGATAGCCTTCACCCACCAAGATTCCCTCAGGTGAGTTGGGTTTTGTGTGTCCCCGCCCCAATTGTCTCCATCATGCTCACTTCAGTGCCGCCTCCTGTGTTCTCCTCCGGCTCCAGCAAATTGCGTATGACTGCCTTTAACCCTCCGTAAAGGTAGACGCTCTACCCGTCAACCCTTCCCCCCATTATAATGTTTTTAGTTACCACAGATTCTCGACATCTTTTAACTTGTTCTCATCATTTCTTTGTTGTTCAATTCCTAAATCTGTGGGTGATGCCTTAACTCATCCTGGCTGGCGTCAAGCTATGCTAGAAAAAAGTGAAACTTGGGAGCTTGTCAAATTACCATCTGGAAAGTCTGTTGTTCGTTGTAGGTGGGTGTATGCTATCAAGGTTGGTCCTGATAGCACAATTGATCGTCTGAAAGCTCGACTGGTGCAAAGGCTACACACAGATTTTTGGTTTGGATTTGGTGATACTTTTTCTCAGTGGCAAAAATCCATATGTTCGCATCATTCCATGGGCCCGCTCTTCGACAATGGTCTCTTTACCAACTTGATGTCAAAAATGCGATTTTCTAAATGTGATTTGGCATGAAGAAATTTATATGGGAGCAACCACTGGCTTTGTTGACTCAGGGGGAGTCATCTGGATTGTTAGGTCGTTTCGCAAATCCTTATATGGCCTAAAACAGTCTCCTCGGGCATGGTTGGTAAATTCAGTGTGGTGTTCAACAATTGGTATGCTCGCAGTGAAGCGGAATCATGCAGTGTTCTATCGCAGTCAAGTGCTGGATGTAGTTACTTAGAGGTATGTCGATGATATTGTTCTCACAGGAAGTGGACTATATCGGTATCTCTCCGATGAAACAACACCTTGTCACCTTTTCAACAAAGAATCTTGGCAAAACTCCGGGACTTTTTGGGTATTGAAGTAGCCAATCCAATATGTATTGTCATAATCTCAGAGGAAGTATGGGTTGACATTGGAGGAGGAAACAAGTTAATGAACTGTAAATCTGTTGCGACACCTTGGACCCGAACATCAAAACTCCTACAAAATCAGGGGGAGCCTTTCTCAGATCTGAATGGTACAGAGATTAGTTGGGGGGGGGGTGGGGGGGGGGGTAAATTAAAACTATCTTCTGTTACGTGTCCTCACATTTTCCTTCGCAGTCTTAGTGTGGTGAGTCAATTTCTAAAAATCCCCATGTGAAGGACCATGGGAATTGCAGTTGTTCGCAACTGACGTATAGTAAAAAGGATCACCTGGAAAAGGGTTTATATGGCCCTAACAACGATACAAAAATCGTTGCTATTCAGATGGGATTGGGCTGGTTCCCCTTCTGATAGAGGTCTACTTCTGGATATTGTGTCTCTATTGGTGGCAACATGATATCTTGGAAAAGTAAGAAGCAAAGGTTGTGGCAAGGTCAACACAGAAGCAGAATAAGAGCTTATCGGCACTGACTACTTGCGAGCTTGTGTGGCTGTTAAACAATTACTTAGTGAATTGAAATTGGAGATGTCACTACAGGACACTTTAGGATAATCAAGCTGCTCTTATATTAGCTCTAACCCCTGTCGTCCATGAGAGAAACCAAACACATTGAAGTTGAATTTGTCATTTTAAGGAGACAAAATCATATCGGAGATATCAGGACTGAGTCGTTACTCAAGCAACCAGTTTGGCAGGACATATCACTAAGAGGACCTAGAATTGAATATCTTGTAACAAGCTTGGAAATATGATTTTAGCTCCGGGCTTGAGGGTGGAGGAGTGTTAGATGTTAAGTTGTGTGTTGATGTATTGGGCGTAGCCCATCGGTATTAGGGTTTTTAACCCTTATCTTACATTATAAAAAACACCTATGTGTAGGCTAAACACATAAGGGAGTTTCTCTAATTTCTCTACTATTACAGATACCATCTTCCATTTCAACCATTACAAAAATATGCAATTAAGGCACCAAACACGAAGACTGATGATGAGTGTTTGAGATTACGTAGGAACGAAGGCTGTGATGAAACTCTAGGGTTGGGTAGCAATCAAGCCTGCTATGGAACTCTATGGTTGGACATCAATGAATGTGATGGAACTCTAGGGTTGGACAGTAATGAAGGCTGCAATCAAATCACACGGATAGAGGTTTCCAAGGATCAGGAGCTCTGATACCATCTAAATTTTAGGAGAGAGAATTATATTTCTTATTATTTGTCTCCTACATGGATTTGGATATATACACAAGAGCTTATTTGAATGAACAACCTATTCTACGGAACAAATCCCTGAAATTGTGGGATTGTTATTCTAGTAATAATAGTAAGATATAGAGAATATAACAAATTAAATTCATGGGAATAAAATCTAAAATTTCTTAAAATATATTTTGACCAGAATTGTGGAGAAAGGTATATCCTATTGTAGCTTCCTTCTAGTATAACCTGGAATACTTTTTTATATTGGGTTGATCCACGGTTCCTTTTTGGAATGTTTGATTAGAATACATGGATAAACAAAGGCGTAGCTACATAGTTACTTTTATGCTCATTCTACCTGGGTCAATGTAATTGACAAAATATATTGTTGGTGTGGGAAATCAAATAGTATTTTAGGAAAGAATAAATTAGGAAATTTGTGTATTTCATAACAAGTATATATTTTATTTGTAATCGGTATAGAGTTGAATAAATAGGGACCAAATCCATAAAATCAAGGATTCTAGAATAGAATTATAGTTTAATTTCGGAAAATAGCTTAGTCTCCCGTATATATTGTATGATCTCTTGTAATAAAATTATCAATTTCATGTAAAACCTAATTTCCAGATGGTATCAGAGCTTCGATCTAGGAAGCTCCTGTTGCCGCATGGAACCTATAGACGGCAGCCTGCAGTGCTCTGCTGGCATTTTTCTTAACCCTAAGACGGCAGCCTGCATTGCTGCTGCATCTTTTCCTATATTCATTACATTTTTTTTCCCTTGCTATTGCAACCTTCTCTATCTCTCAATCTTCTGTTGCTGCTGTCTTCTCTGTGCCTTAATTGCACAGCCTTTCCTTTTTTCCGCTCAGCCATCTTCTTGCTATGATGTCAAGGGAAGAGGAAGGGGAAGTTGTGAAAAACCAACACCAGAAAACAGGGAATGCCCTTCCCAGCTTCCTGGAGAACTGAGGATATCAATCTGCATATCGACTCATGAAGAAATATTTGAAGTGGGCCACCTTGTTCGTACAGTGCGAAGAGGAAAGGGGAAGTTGAGTCACCTGATGGAGTCTGGACCCAAACAGGAGGATTCCAAGTTTATACATTGGGAAATGAGGAAGAAGATCAATGATCATGGGTGGCCTGTGGAATTCAATGATTTCCAGAAATCAGCGACACATGCATGTTCCTTAATTCGGCAAAAGAGATTTGGGGTGCTGTAGAGCAAACCTACTCTAAAGCCAAAGATGTTGCTCAAGTATATGACGTAAAGGTGAAAACTTTGGCAGCAAAACAAGGGAACAAGACTGTTACAGAATATGCCCAATCAGTTGAATTGAATGAATCATTATGGATGGAGCTAGGAACCCATTATAGCGTCAATAAAAGCCAAATGTGTATGAAGATCAGCACTTCTCAAGGAATATATCGAACAAGACAGAAGTTTATGATTTCTTGGTGGTTTGAATCTGAATTTGATCAAGGTTAGGATTAAAATATTGGGAAGCAAAAGGTACCTGCTTCAATGAAGTGGTGGCTATTGTGGAGAAGTGAAGAAAGCAAAGGGGGGTTCATGTTGAGGCCAGCAGTAGTAGAGAACTCAGCAATGGTGGCTGACCCATAAAGGAGAACAGACGTTGGCAATGGTAGCCGAACAAAAAGAACGGAGGATCAGCAAATGTGAGAGAAAAGGTGATGGTTCTATGGTGTACCAGGCAATAAGCCTAGTCATACCGAGAGAAGTGCTGAAGTTGCATGGGAAAGCCTTTTTAAACGAGATCGAGAAGGGGGACACAGTGGAGGCCTCAAGGAAAGGAGGACAAGTTTATGTTGCTGCTGCGAACAATGAAGGGAAATAATCCAGAAGCTGCTGCCCATCTTAATCAAGAGGAGATTAGAAAGGTGAGAACTGAGAATCCTTTCTAGTAAGCTGGAAAAAACCTAAGGGGTGTGTTCGTTGGCATATTCAGGTAAGTTTACTTTCTTTGGAATTAAATGTCTCAGATACACCTAACAATTACTGGTATTGGACTCGGAGCCACAGA